ATATGTGCAATTCTTATGGGTTACGTTACACTACCTTATTTCAATTCTGCTAAAATCTAAAAATTACATGAATTGAAATCAATCGTTTCACATTTAATTTCATATCTAATGTATAACATACAACAATTCCTAGAAATACGTATTTTAGATAGACGTGCTCCTACAGAATCCTAAGAAGTATAAAATGTTAAACAGAGATTCGGTAGCCATGGGTCATTGTTTTGCTACATAATGTGAAGGGATATCTGGCAACGATTCAAGTAGGAAAGCCGCGTTGAGGCATGCCTCGTTGCACTAATGTCGACTGTCAAAGCGGAATTTTGTATTTAGGAAGTGTTCGTGGCCAACGAACCTTGTCCTAGCGCACAAGTTGTGGCTGAACATTTAACTTGATCTATTCTGGAGCAGCTTACATAAAGTTATTCACAAAATCTGTGAGCGCTTTTCAGTGAATTTTAAACTATTGTCATTGTTCATCCAGCTAATGGGCATAATACGGTACATCTACCGGCGTTTTAGTTAAACTAATGAGCTCAAGCTTTTAGCTTCTCCCTCCGCACCGTTCCCTCCGTCCTGGCCTACACCTGTCGTATTAGATCCTTACGTAGTACAAAACTTACATATTATTACAACCAATCGTATTTTATGGAACTTTATATATCTTTTGTATTGAAATAAAAGAGCATGACTCTTAGTGTAAAGGGGTCACCAATGCTCATAGACTTATGTTCAACAACACCAGAAGATGGAGTAACACTTTATCTGTCGTTAACCATAGACAAAGGAGAAGTATCTAGGGCACAGGTTATTGACCCTATTCGTACAATCTAATCTAATGACATCCATCATTAGCGGCGCTCGGACTTTGAATGCAATTATCTTTGAGTGATCTCTGCTGCCTCGACTTTGATGCTATACCTTTACTGAATAACTATCTAGGAAGTACAGAGGTTGTATTGCACAAAGGTCATTGGCCTAGCTCGCACTAAGCGTGTAATCTCGTTTAGAAATATGCACTAAGCTGTTTATGCCACCATAGAAATATCTGTGTTTAAGTTTCTAACAGTGAACATAGCAGTTAAAGGAAAAAAGTATGGATGACACGATTATATTTTTGAAAGATTTCCTTCACCAAAACCAACTCAATAGTTTTACCCACTAACCAAAATCTTTTCGCTTATTTACAAATTACTTTCGCTCTCTTTTCTCGTGGTTCTATCTACTTTAACTTGGACCACATCTGTCTCCCTCATCTTCAATGAGGCGTGTCACTCTGCGAGCGACGTGTCACTGATTAAACACGCTGTCGACGTGACATATGTGCTGACTTGTCACGTAAACAATCTAATACATTGGATATTATTAATACTACGAGACAGAAAAGTGATTGATCGATTATTTCAGAGAGTGCCAAAATATTTTACAGTTAAGGTTGGTTATAACTCCAAATTATTGCTTTATAATATATGGCGTTTCTTTCAATTCTAAGATAGTTTTACAGTTTTCGTCTTGTTTGTCGCTCGGATAGTTTGGCTCCGTCATAGAATAGTAATATTTTCATAAGTAATATAAAACGTTATCAGCTGTCTCTGTCTAGCTCGCGTATATTTTTAATGTAAGGACGTTCGTTGCGCTTCGATTTGACGAATGACTTCAATATTTCCATGCCTTACCCGAGCTTCTACTTATTATAAATTTATAGTTCCGATACGAATCCTAGGGCAATATATTTTCTAGGTTATTCTTATTTCTTACTCAGTTTACTTAAACCTTTACATCTTTTATATAACTACATTTTTAAATGACATATGTTAAATATATATGAAGTTTTACAAACTTAGTAAAATGAAGTTTGTTAAACTTAGTAAGGTTCAAGTAGGATCAATTTGGATAAGATGATTTGTGGATCCCAAATATAGATCAACGCTAAGCTCTTACCTGTTTATTTTCATTGTTTACAATCAAAATGTTTTATTACAATAAAGTATTTGTGCATATTTTACAGTTTTCTGGCAATACGTTAATACAAAGGTGAATTTATAAATTTATCTTTATCTATAAATAAAGATATGAAAATTCGCTTTTCGGATGGCACAATTTTTCAGGCGAACAAATGACTTTAATATTCCTCTGTCTTTCGCGAACGTTCAACTTTTTAAAATTTATGTTATCGGTAGAAATCTGAATCCAATATTTTATGTGCACCAATCTACCTCCTGCTGAGTTGCGAAGGTAAATCTTACAAACTGAAATACTTAGTATAAATATGCGGTAGAACATTTTTAAACAAAACTTCATAGTACTCTCAAAAAATCACATTTATTAAAACTGTAAACTGACATTGTTTATACATTATAAACAATGTCGTCGTAGTATCAGCTAAGCTCACTAGATGGCGGCATTTTATAAAACTTCTGAGCGACTGCCGTGACCGGCGCTCAGGCCTTCCCGTATACTATACTGCTCAAAAACTTTTATTACCATAAATATTATACCTAAGCTTCTATACACAGTCCGTTCGTAAAAAAACTGGATGGATTTCTATGGATGGATGGATGGTGTTCTAAAAATCGAAACATATAGAATGGAATAAAAAAATTGTTTTTTTTTTCGTTTTTATTGAAAATTTAGCTTCACATTATTGTGATCGTTTAATATATAACTACATAGAAGATATATTTGAGTTTTGTATTTGGAAGGGAGTTAAATAATTAGCAATTTCAAGTTAAATAGCGGTGGTCAAATGAGCGAAGATATCGACCGGGAGTTCGTTAAAGTTTGTTAAACTTTGAGTTTCAAAATTTGCTACAAAGGCGAATTATTCAAAAGTCATAAAATGTCAGAGTAGTGTCCAATGCTAGTTTTACATTCAAATTTTTAAATTACGTTTTATCTGCATTAAGAAGTTTGAAAAATTTTAATTTTTACCATTCAATGTAGTGAATGATAAAAATTGGAGAAAAATAATTATTGCATGTAAAAAAAATCAAGAAAGTAACAAAAAGGCACCATCACGCGGTGTTCCCAGGCGGTCACCCATCCAAGTACTGACCGCGCCCGACGTTGCTTAACTTCGGTGATCGGACGAGAACCGGTGTGTTCAACGTGGTATGGACGTTGGCGAAAGCAACTATTA